ATAATTGCTCATTTTGACAGGTTACCATTATCATCACTATTGCTATGCCTCACAACTCCCCAAGTCCTTTCACAGTCATATTTAATCCTCACAACAGCCCTGTGAAGGGCGGGTTAAGAATTATCAACCTCATTTTATACAAGGAAATAAGCTCAGAGAAGTCTTTGCATTCCTTGCTCACACTCCCTGTGGCCACAATTGTACAGAGGGGAAATGAGATTAAACTCCTAAATCAGTAAGTTGCCATAACAGACCTTGACTTTATCTGCATTGTTTTTTCAAACTGCTCTTCCCAAAGTCCTAATAAAGCTCAGATATTTAGAGACACTTCATCATATAATTTAAGCATCAGGAAAGAGGTAACAGAATTTCTGGGCTGGAAGGGGTTCTTGAACTGACCACCTAGTGCTAACACACTGGCTTACAGGTGAGGTCCAAGAGCAGCATCTTGCCCTTTTCCAGGGTCCATCCCCGGCTGCTCCTTAGATGGGCCACCGGTGTTACCACTGTCTTGTGAGTTTTGCCACTTCTGACCCCCCTCCCCAGCAACAATGTGGTCACACCCCATCGCTACTTACAACAGAACTCACGGCTGGAGCACAGCTAGGCTTGGACGCCAGCGCCTTTGGCCTGGTACACAGGCTGCTGCCCAGCCCCCTCCGTGGGGCTCAGGCTGGGCTCCCTCACGGGACCCTTAGACACCAACAGATGGCCCCATCCCTCCTGGGAACCTGCATTTACTTTCCTGTTACTTGCTTGTGCTCACTTTTCTATCTCAGGACTGAGGCAAGTTGTTCTACCTATGTCTCAAATAAGCCTCCACTCCAGAAGATTAAAATTCAGTTATGAAATCTCTTTGAAACTCTTCCAATGTTTTGAGTATATACCCAGAAGTGGAATTGCCAGATTCCATGATAGTTCTATTTTTAAAATTTTTTTGAGGAACCATCATCACGTTTTCTATAGCGGCTGTACCGTTTTACATTCCCAGCAGTTCACAAGGGTTCTGATTTCTCCACATTTATTTCTTCATAGTAGCCAGCCTAATAGGTGTGAGGTAGTTTTCATTTCCTCTTTCCTAATGATTAGCAGTTGAGTACATCTTACTGGCCATTTGTGTATCTTCTTTGGAGAAATGTCTGTTCAAGTCCTTGCCCACTTTTGAATTGGGTCGTTGTTCATAGCAGCATCATTATTCACAGTAGGTAACACATGGTAACAATCTAAATATCCATCACAGGATGAATGAACAAAAACTCTACATAAAGTGGAGTATGTAGTTCATGATGCATGATCAAAACTGAAGTTTCTGTGATTTGACTGCCCTTACACTGTTCACCATGTAAGAACTTATTCACTATGTAAGAACTTGTTCGTTACGCTTCAGAAGATTGGAGACTGTTGAGAATTAGGCTTGGGGTTGATTAATGATTGTGCATTGAGTCCCCTATACAGAATTTTATTGTTGTTAATAACCATTTGATCAATAAATATGAGAGATGCCCTCTCAAAAAAAAATAATAAAATAAAATAAAGTGGAGTATGATTCAGCCTCCAAAAGGAAAGATGTTCTGATCCACGCTACAACATGGATGAACCTTGAGGACATTATGCTGATAGAAATGAGCTGGTCACACACATAAATACTGTATGACTCCACTTACATGAGATACTAGAGTGGTCAAAAGCATAGAGAAAGAGAAGAGAATGTTGGTTGCCAGGCACTAAGGGGAAGGGGACTGGGGAGTTACCTTAATGGGTAGAGTTTTGGTTTCAGAAGATGAAGAGAGTTCTGGAGATGAATGGTGGTGATGGGGCTGTACAACATTATGAATGTACTTTGTGCCACCGGAGTGTATGTTTAAAAATGATTAAGACAGTAAGTTTTATGTTATGTGTATTTTACCACACTAAAATATTGTTTTAAAAAATAAATAAAAGGACTCCGGAACCAGACTGAAGCAGGCACCACTGACCAAAGACAGAACATTTTCAACTTCAATAAAGATAATTGCAAAGGACTGAAATATTGAAATACATCAAGTATGATTAAATCTGATACTAAAAAATACAATAATGGTTCCAGTTAAATAAAAAAATAAGCAAACTGGTCCCCTTCAGAGGGTGACAAGGAGCAAACTTCATTATCTTGAAAGCCGGTAAGGGACTTGAGTCTTTACTCTGCCTTATCCATATGAAACATGCCACCGGGTAACAAATAGCAGAAGAAGGGAAACGTACTTTTGCTTTTCTTAACAGATAAAACTGGCATATAACCTATTAGTTTCAAATGCACAACATGACTTGATGTGTGTATACACTACAAAGTAATTACGGCAAGTCTGTCACCCATCACCATGCAGCTGAGCCCCTTCACTCATCTCACCCACTCCCCAACCCTCTTCCCCTCTGATGACTACCAATCTGTTCTTTTTTTGTCTGTTTCTAGATTCCACATAAAACTAGAACCATAATTTTTGTCTTCCTCTGACTTAACTTCGCTTAGCATAATGCCCTCAAGATTACGTTGCTACAAATGGCAAGATCTCATTCTTTTTTATGGCTAATATCCCATTATGTATATATATATATATATATGCCGCATCTTATCCACTCATCCAATAATGGGCATTTATGTTGTTTCTGTATCTTGTAAATAATGCTGCAATGAACATGGGAGAGCATGTATCTTTCTGAATTACTGTCCTCATTTTCTTCAGAAAAATACCCCAAAGTGGAATACCGTAAGATGCTGGATCATACGGCAGTTCTGGGTCTCTGAGGGCCCTCCACACTGTCTCCCACAGTGGCTGCACCGGTTCCCACCAACACTGCATCAGGGTTCCATTTTCTCCACATTCTTGCCAACACTTGGTATTTCTTGTTTTTATAATAGCCATTCTAACAGGTGTGAGGCGATAGCTCAGTTTTTGGTTTTGATTTGCATTTCCCTGATAATTAGTGGTGTGGAACATTTCACGTGCCTATTAGCTATTTGCTTAACTTCTTTGGAAAACTGTATATTTAGATCTTCTGCCCATTATTTAATCAGACTGTTTTTGCTATTGAGCTGTTCTGAGTTAAATATTTTGGATATTAACCCCTTTTTAGATGTACGATTTGCAAATATTTTCTCCCAGTCAGTAAGTTGCCTTTTTATTTTGTGGATGATGTCCTTTGCTGTGCAGCTTTTTAGTTTGATGTAGTCCCACCTGCTCATTACCCGTATTTGTTGCTGGAAATGTTTCTTTCCGGAAGCATTCCAGTTCTAAGTTAAAGATTATCAGAAGAGCAGCATGTCGTAACTCATGTGTATGAATGAATCTAGACACACTGAGCCCCCACTGCTAATACCACCTGACAACAGATGAGATGTGTTTCCTGACCAAAGAACCCAGCGTCTCTCCAGTGTTGCCAAAGGGAAGGGGCCTGAGTTTGATCAAGCCTCTGGAACTAGAGAACAGAGAAACAGCTGAAGTGTACCAGGAGTGTGCAACCAGCAACTTCCAGAGTGTGGGAACAGCAGTCAAGTGGCCTCAGGGTCTTTGACAAGTTGTAGGGAATAGAAAGGGATGGAGTTGAGCCAGAAGATTAAAAGAGACTCAAAGGCTGACTTAAAAAAAGAAAAATAACAATACCAAACCTTAGTGTCTAGGGCTGTACACCTGAGTGACAAACTATGAAGGAACACAAGGAAGCATCATACACGTGGTCACTTTCAGAGGGGAGGAGGGGCTGTGATGGGGCACGTGCAGGAGCTTCTGGAGAGGCTGCCAGTTCCTGACTTGGACGGTAGTTTCAAGGGTGATCTGCCTTGTAGGACTCATTAAACTCATGTAGCCTATGAGGTATTTTTTATCTGTTTTAAAACAGTTTACAATAGAAATGTTTAAAAACAAAAAACTCAGTTTTCCTAGTCACATATACCTGCTTGAGATTGCTGCTGTTTTAGGAGAGTAGCTCAGAAGACAGACTTTGGTGATAAGTAAAAGTAGTTCTAATTTCCTACTGTTAATTACTAGTAGTGTGAGTTTCCATTAAGTGCTTTGCCTCTCTGAGCCCCATGTTCTTCACCTGGAAGATGGGAATTTTATCAGTATCAAGCCCATAGGTTTGCTCTGAGGATGAAATGCACGTATAACACTTTATACAATACTTGGCATACAGTAAATGTTCAATAAAGATGAGCTATTGTTGGTATTCAAACATTAATGATTATAGATTAATTTAAATGGGACTTTAAATATTCTAAATATTCACAATATTTATGTTCTTAGTATTTAAAGGAAATATATTATTTATGCTCCTCTAAAATACCTATTCCCAAAACAGCTATTATAATCTCTTTCAGTGAACATATTTTTATGACAAAGCAACATCAAGAAACTAAAAATCTTACTATATATTAAAATACTTACATGGGTGTATTACTCCACAGTCTTTGACAGATGATAAATCTGATAGGAATTTTTTGAATTAGCAATTTATGACAGGTAAGAGTCTCCCTTTCAGGTCTTCTTAAACATCAACTGTTGAATAAACTTGGTTCTTGCTTTCACAGGCAACCTGAGGTTTGGGTATTTCCTTATTTCTTAAGAAGTATTTGTACATATTTCACATGTTTATATTTTCTTGTAGCTTGTGATCACAGAAGACCCATGTGCTGAGATCTGTCTTATGTGAAGTATCTTCCTGTTAATCTCTCTCCTCTTAAAAATACTAGAATTAATGTGTCACAAACATTAAAGTGTTAGCAGCCTGACCAGTTCCTGAATATTGTAAGGAAAATAAATGATATGCTATCATTTCTGGAAATTTAGATGTGAATGAAATAACAGAGGGAGTTGGGATGATTGGATAAATCAGTGTAGCTGACTGCCTGAGGATTGTGGCAGTTGTGAAGGTGAGGTAAAATCTGTGTTTACTATCATTACTAAATCTACTTAGAAATAAAGATTTATAAGGTCTTCAAAGGGAAAAATTCAATTAAAACAAATATATCTCATTAACAAAGCAGTCAATTCCCTTTATTTTTAAAATTTTATGTACACATATGATCTATATAATGTACATTCAATATAGAAAGCTTTATATATTTCATAATGTATAGAACATTTCACAATTACACTTATCTTTACATAACATCTTGATATCCGTTTTTAGATTTTTAAATTTTTTTTGCACAAGCTCCTTTTTCATTCAGTTTGGTAAAGCCAGTTACACAATACCAACATGTACTGTGAGCTCTGAGAAGGTCTATGACTGAAGAGACGACATCAGTGAGCAGGTGCAGGGGCAAAACCTAACAGTGTTCGATGGTGGGAGGACGACAGACACGTAGACTTGATGCAGGAGAGGAAAAATACCCTTTTCCAGGGACAAGTGACTGAGCCCAAATTCTGTAGACCGTAGTTCAACTCCACAGTCATGATATTCCAAAAAAAACATTATAAAAACTAGGAAGAGAGTTTTGTCTTTTTGATTCACAGTCTTGTAAACAGATACAAAGGAACAAAATGTGCTCACATACATCAAGAAAAAAAATTCTTGTGTACCCACTTAGGTTGATCCAGAGAGTGCTTTCTTATAATGTGATATAATTAGAATCAATGACTGTTTTCCTAAATAAAAATATATTTATAGAAAAAGGATTAACACTGTCATGAAACCAGAGAAAGGCAGTAAGAGTTTGCTTCAACGTATCAGCTGGAGGAATGTGGACTGGGCACTGGCCTTTCAGCATGTATTGTCCCTCACAAATGTCTCAAGTCTGATAGCCAAGGTCACCTGCCTCGTGGTCTACAGGAGGTGGCAGGTTAGACATGACTGATGAGGATGTCCCTGCGGTAAGGTAGCCAGCAACTCCAGGTCCTGCAAGAAAGGAAAACACACCTTCCAGAGAGCAGAGTCATGTGAAAACATTGACCTTCACAAAAATATGAGAACCTGGTCAAGTACCCCATCACAAGTAACTGATAATCTATTAGAATTATCTAAATGCAGCACTAAATATTAAAAAACAACTAGAGAGCACCCATTTTATGCTTTGCCTTTACTAGATGACAAGGTTAAAAATCATTTCAAAATTTATGCTGGACCGTAACACCAGTGTGGAAATAGAGAAAATTTTCTTCAAAAAATCCTGGGCACTGAAGGATAGGTATGTCAAATGCAAACAAAAAAAAAGAAAAAAAAGGAGCAAAAAATGATATAAACTCTGCACTTCGTTAGCCTATCCATGAGTCCTACTTGATGAAATTCCCAACAAAAACATTGCTATCAACATTCTAGTTAACGTTATTTTCATTTGGTGCAAAGAAATGCTATTACGACAAGTAACACCAAATGAACAAGGTCTCTGAGAAAGAAAAGGAAGGCCTGGACATCTGTCCTAGGGCAGAATAAGAATGCTATGGGAAAAGGTGTCAGTATGTCTTCCCTGAGTCGGCCTCTGCTGCACGAAAGTGCTACAAATGCTAGCATATGTCAAGGTGTGTCTTATAAGCACATAACAGCTTTAGCCCTCTAGTTTACTTAAACATTGCAGAGACAATTACATCTCAGAAACACTGTACAAACCTGCAGAGACCTTGCAAGAGACACTGTGGCATCGTACTGCACACTGAGCAATACTTTGAGCTGAAATCGCAGGAAACAAGGCAAACAGCTTTAGAACATTGAAGGGTTAAAGACTAAAAAGGCAGTGGAAGCAGCATGCATTTAGCAAAGCGGTTCTCTACCTGCTTCAGAGAGCTACACAGAAGTTAGCAGGCTGCCTGGCAGAGCGGATCTAAAGCCCGCTCCTGAGGTGAAGGGGACTGCTGCCAGTTAGAAGGGAAGGAGAGACACCTGAGGGGAAAAAAGAAATGTAAGCAGCAAGGGAAGTTGTGAGGAAATGCAGACAGCAAAGCAGTTTGGTGAAGGCTGAGGCATAAAGGGACTTATGTAGGACAAAAGGGGCACAATTCAGATTCCTCTTGTTTTTCACCTTACCAGTACTGATATCAAGGATGTGAAATGGCTTATACCATGGGGCAGACATTCTGCACCTTGTGTAGTTACACAGAGACAACTCAGTTGTCTGCATGAGTTGTAACGTGCCAACCAGAGCATCCAGGCCCTTAGAACCTTGAACTTGGCAAACTTTGAAAAAGCACTTTCCCTTTTTAGGGCCCTGTGGGCCTGCATTTATCACCTCCTGCCTTCTGCCAGTCAGGGCTCCAGGTCTTCCACAGACTGCTCAGGAAAAAGACCAGGAGATCAACACACACCCCCTCTAAGTGGCGGCTCGAGCTACAGTGCCCCACTGGTACATCACCTCCCACCAACCTATCACTCTGTGAACCTCAGCAGCAGGGTCACTAGACAGATACCAAGTAGGCCTCATCAAGATGTAACCCTTCAGAAGAAACCCCAAACTCTCCAACTGGTAAAGTTCCTGTGCACTTCTGATGGTGGGCTCCACCTGACTCACATCAAACAAATAGTACGAGACCAAATCATGAATGTTACACATAGAAAACAGACTTAAGGCTATGGTTCACCACCTGTGAGCTGAGGCACTCCGGGACAAATTCACAGGGGCACTGTAAAAATTTTAAACTTGAGAGAAGCAGCAACATCTGTTAGGCACTATACAACAACTACTTTTAAGTCATCTGGACATAATTACTTAATAAACTTAACTATTAGGTATTTCTATTGGCCTAGCGGTAGATGGCGGAAAAAAAATCACTAGGATATTAAGGGCACTGTGAATGGAGGAAGTTTGGGAACCTCTGGGCTAAAATTAAATTGTGAAATGATGGGCCCAGGATTATCTGTAAGAGACTGAATTCCAGCCCCACCATTTGCCTCTTTAAGAAAGACAAATTGATTCCTGAATATTTCTTTAGTGAGATCTGAGATACTCTCTCCCTCACACGCCTGGCCTCTCCTGAGGACATGTCTGGTTCTAGGGGCCAGAGGTACAGTCTGCTCCTGAGGATGGGACAGAGCATTTGTGTTTGCCAGAGAAAGGTGGGGGGCAAGAGCAGGGGCTGCCAGAAATGGGGCATGTGGTAAACTGCACGATACTGTCCAACTTACAAGGAACCAGATGGGAAATTAACAAAGAATCCCACAAAATGGAGTTGTCTGCAGTGAAGTAGTGGAAGGACATGGGCTTCGGTAAAAACAAACAGGAGACTTTCAGCCAGGAGAATAAGAAAAAGAAGCCCCGCCTTAGCCATCAGTGTCCTCCCGGAAACTGACACTGGCCTGAGGGAACCCTCCCTAACAGTGCTCACAGTGCAGTCTTGCGGGGGTGGGGGGTGGGTATAAAAGTAACAAACGGTAATAAAAGCCAACTCTGTAAAAAACTAATGGGTAAGCTGGAGAAGAGGCCCAAGAACTGCACCCTCTCCCTCCATTTAATGACCTTAGGGAGCCAAGCTAACTATTCCCCATGTTTCTAATTAGATGAATTATATATTTCAAAGTCCTTCATCTCCAACTCCAGCCCCTAAAACCATGCTCACTGTGGCCTGCTTCTCTTCCTTTCCCAGCTGTTCCTTCTTTCTCTACTGATTCTCTAGCTGAAGTAAAGCTTGTCAGCACCAATCTCTTCTTGAACCTAATGAATGGCTGAGTAACCATTAGTGACCCTGGTCAATGAGCAACTGCAGCTTATCTACATCACAGGTAAAATCCACTGAGGCACTTTCACTAAGTGTGTATCATAAAACAATATGCCAGGCTAGAGAGCCTACGGAACTAGGCAGTCTCATCTCAATTTACCAGCACTAAATAAGCCTGCCTAGGACAGTTTAATTTTGACCTCCAATTCTGAACATATGACTGAATGACATCTTCTTAGCAGCCGAGGAGAAGAAAACCATAAATGTATTTTTGGTCATTCTTACTTTGAAATAGTAACACTCCTTTCTCTCTCCCCATCTTCTAAACAAAATCCACTAACAGCTGACCCTTGAACAACTTGGGTTTGAACTGCAAGGGAACGCTTACATGTGGATTTTTTTTTCAATAAAACGTTGGAAATTTTTTTGAGATTTGCGACAATTTGGAAAAGCATTTTCTTTTCTCTAGCTTACTTTAAGAATATAGTAATACATATAATATACAAAATATGGGTTACTGGACTGTATGTATGTTACTGGCAAAGCTTCCAGTCAACAGCAGTATATTAGTAATTAAGTTTTGTTGGAGTCAAAAGTTAATATACAAAATTTTGACTGCACAGCTGGGTTGGCGCCCCTAACCCCCTCTCTGTTCATGGGTCAACTGTACTTGCCAAACTCATCCACAACTATCACTTAGAAGAAAAGGCTAGTGATTTGTAATTGCACAGTACCTCACTTCATTTGCAGTTGCTTAGAGAGGAGATGGGTACAATCTGAATGTTCTCAAGATTGAGGGTAGTATAGGATAAATCCTAATTAATTAAAATTCCAATTTAACATAAGATTATATAATAATCTATTCCATGAAGTTCCCATAATGGGATTTTACCATTATTAGAAGTACTCAACCCTTTTATCAAACACATGACACACATCAATGGAAAAGCTCAAATGCAAGAAAAGATAGTAATCGGTAACTCAAGCAATGAGTACAGATCAATCCAATTTTAGCACTTTAATCCTTTAAATGGAGCTAGTCCTTCCAAACAGAACCAACTAGAGCTGATGGGAAAATCTTCTCAAACAACTAATATCTCAACAAAAGAACAATCCAGATTAACAATGTGCTAACAACTGGACACTTCCAGGGACAACACAGCTCAGAGCCGGTCCGGACTGCCTCATGTGGATGTGTCAGCTGGTGCCTTCGGAATGGCCACTTCCAGGTTGGTAACTAACTATACGACTATCCCCTCCAGCAGCTTTGTAGAGAACCTGCTGCCTCTTCAGCCACCCAAAGGACGTGAAGAAATCTGCAGACTCCAGCTTTTCTCTCCTCCAACCTTCTTCCAGCCACTATAGCTCATCACAGCTATTCTCACACACCACTCAGAAGCCACCGCAGGGATCCAAGTAAAAGGAAAGGCAGAAACAGGAAACATTTTACTTCCTGTCCATTTTTCTAGAGTTACTGGGGAATCTGGATATGGGTGAGGACCACAAGATTTATAAAGGAAATCCAGGTCTTTGAAGATAAATCCCGATCTCTTCTGTATTCTAACCACAGACCTTCCTGCCCACAGCCTGTTAGTACGGCAAAAAGCCGCTCAAGTCTTGTGTTCTGCCGATCAAGTCAATGAGTGCCACGTACAATGAAGAAGAAAAAGAGTTAGAAGAGCCTTCCCATAGGGAAGCTTATAATACACATCTTACTATTCTTCAGAGCCAAATTTTAAATAAGCAGTTTCTCTCAGCTGGTCTGAGAGTAAATAAGGCAGACTATCTGGTCATAATATCCTCATACACAAAGTAATGAATGTAATGCCACAAAAATGTGGTTATATAAACTTTTGGAAAAAGTCTAGTAAGTGAAGTTTTTAGTGTGCCTACAAGAACATACTCTTACTTAGCAGCTACAGCATTACCTCAAATTTGAAAGAAAGACTGGGAACAGACTAAAACAATATTCTAGGTATTTCTCTCCATGGAAATCACAGGCCAGGAGACAGCAAAGTCAGAAGGGAGACCTGTGACGCTCTGTACCTAATGTGCACACAGCACCAGCAGTCAGAGCACCAGGTGTTTACAAACTTTAGGGCTCTGCTTATAAACTTTAGTGGATTTATGTTAAAGTGGTCACAGAGAAGGAAAAAAGTCTAAGCAGAGTCTAAAATTAAAGCCAACCAAAACTTTCTCTGAAGTCTCTATTTTTGAATATTCAAAATTTAGTCTTCATGACTTATAAACTTTCATATGAGCAATCAGGATTATCACCACAATCACACTAGTATGAAAAACACTGGGTACTAATTTTTTTCTCTCAATTTACCTGCATCATCTCTGGTTAGACGAGGATACAGGGCTGACTTTTTAATATACTACCATTACAGGAAGACAGCAAGAACCACCTCATATTCTTAAGGGTCATTTCAAACTGAAAACATTTATTCCAGAGACCATATTTCATTTTCAGCATATAGTAATAAGATAATGTGACTTCTTTTTAAACAGAAGCCAGTATGAAAACGAGTATTCTAAAATTACTACGCAGTTAGTGTGTCAAATGGATAAATGTCCTGAACTTCAAAAGTGTATTATCTTTTGATCCCTAAGCAATAAAACATCCTTTCCTTTCAGGTAGCCCCACATTTCCTCCCACGAGAGGAAGCAAACCTTAAATATTTAGTAAAACTGTAGGTTAATCACTGGAGATCCAGAAGAAAACATTTCACATATAAGTATACATATTTGGGAGCTTCAAGCCATTATTTTGACAAAATGTTTCTGATACTTATTTCTGAGTAGACATCTTTCCACTCTTTTCATCTGTTTCAAGATAAACATTTCAATACCGTCATGCTCCAAATATAACCTATGGCACCATTAATTAAGTGGATCCAGACCAAGCAGAGTCCACGTCTCACTCAGCACAACAGCACCTCACACGCTGTCCAGGGCTGAACCCAGAGGCCCACTGCGTGTCCGCAGCACCTCCAGAACAAGCTAGTAGCCTAAGGAGACACCCTGAATGCTCTTTTCAGTCTAGTCAGGGCAAAAGGAAGGCTCAGGTGGCTTTTGCCATATGTCTCTGGGTGACCAATTAAGTGTGGTTTACCTGTGAGGTATCCTGCTGTTTGTGACTCAGAAATAAACAAATCATGTTTCTGATCTTTGAAGGCACTCCAGACTGAAGAACGAGACAGGATTTCATTCACCTAGGGAAGTAAAGTAAATTCTTTGAACATAAATTAAGGACTGCATGTTGGAAGACAGAACTGAAGAGAAAAGCAAAGTTCCAAGACAAAGGAAGACAGCCAGCCTAGGAAAGATTTAAAGTTGGAGCAAGACCTAGAATTCATCAAACTATACCAGGCACATCTCATCAAACCAGACCCAAGTACATAAGTCACTCTTCCCTCTAAAGTTGGACTCTATTATTTAAACCTACAGTTTACTGACTTGTATATAATTTGGGCGGGAAGACTTCCCTGTGATGGTAACAACTGGCTGACAGTGTGGTGCAGGCTCATAAGGTATCCCAAGGAAGGGACTGGGAGAGAAGATGCTGCCAACTCAAGCTAATACTTAAAGCAGTCTTTCAAATGATGGGTTGTAACTTGTCAAAAGTTTATAAAATCGATTAAGAGGGTTGACATCAGTATGCTTTAGAAAATAAAACAGGTGAATAAAATAGAGAAAGCATCAGAGTATCCCATATAAAATGTGTGACTATTTTTCTGTGATTACATATTCATACAAGTATAAACAACAACTAGTATAAATGTGTACTGGACTAAGTTTGAAAGACATTTCTGTGTGAGACAGGAAAAAAAAGTTTAAGAAATTCCAACTTAGAGCATATCTTCTGCATATACATATTTATTGAGCACCTATGTGGCAAGAACAGTGGACACAAAGATGAGAAAGAGAGTCTCTGTCTCTGAAGTACTTACAATCAACCTAGTAGGGGAGACAGAGAGGGCCAGATCACTTAGTGGTAAGCATTAAAGTAGAGAAATACACGGGGGCCATGTGAATCCAAGAGACTCCCTGACCCAACCTTGGGAAGAAGCACTAGTGACGTGACTGGTTGTGAAGATGGTAGAAGAGTTCCTATTTTGGAAACTACCATTACCTCTTCCCTCCCCCTTGGGAGTGGAAGGTAGGTGTCAAGTTTGTTTGCTAATTTCATCAACAGGAATCCCAAGGCAGGTCGAGGTGCAGACACGGACAAGTGCCTGCATGCGGTACACAGGAGCATCCCTGTTTGGCGTGCAGTACACCCACAGGCAAACACCCCGCCCACCTGCCAAAATACTTCATTAAACATATAGGTAACGACTGCAGCAATACACGCTGCGGCTCTTCTGTAATGTCATTTTAAACTGCTCCAATGATGGTATGGATAGAATGAACAATGGAGTAAGAAAATGTTTTAGTTGAAACACACAAACACAATGAAATCATTAAACCTTTAAGTCAATTTAAACCTATAAAAAAACATTCTTAGACAGTAACAATCCAAACTGTTATCCGTTAACAAGTGAATGGATTAACAAATTGTTGCACATACCTACAGTGGAATATTATTCAGCCTTAAAAAGGAATGAAGCATTGATTTATGTTATAACAGAAGAGATGAACCTCAAAAATTTGCCAAGTGACAGAAGCCAGAAACAAAAGATCACATGTTGCTTGATTCCACTGATAGGAAATATCCAAAATAGATTAATTCATAGCAAATGAAGCAGTGGCTACCAGAGGCTGCAGGGAGGAAGAAACGGTATATAGTAATTGCTTCCTGGGCACAGTTTCCCTTTGGGGCAATGAAAATGTTTTGGAACTAGATATGGTGGTGGTTCTACAACATTGTTAATGTACTAAATATCAATTAAGAGGCCACTTTAAAATTGGTAATTTTATGTGGTGAAAATTTCACCTCAATTTAAAAAGACAGCATTAGTAGACAGGACTATACAGTAACACTGAAGAGGAATTCCTCAGAAGCCACAATCATGAAACCAAAGAGGAAAATTAAATCACTGAGCCAGCTGGACGTCAGCACGTGCATGCAGCTCAGACACATTCATACATACCTAAGTTACAACAAAAAGGACACTAATCCTTTGTAACTGCTTATATAGAAAGGAGAGGAAACTAAAATGATGTTCTAAAATGACATTACGGGATGGTTAATGCATGTGGTTATTTTATCCAACAATAACTCTAGAACTAGAAGTTAATTTTAACCAGCACTAAATGCTCAATATTCTTCTATGCTGAAGAATTATTTTTCCTGAAATGTACAACATGCTATCACCATCCAGAGAAAGAATCCTCCTGAGTGACTCTCTGAGTACATGGTTTGCGTTTTTTCACTGTTACAAGGCAGCTGTACAAGTCCATCTGTGGTCTTTGGATCTGCTCCAGCAGAGCCAACAGTACCATACCTGTAGGTGGAACCTGAGCAGAGGTGTGGTATCACCCATGACCAAGACCCCTGGCTTGGAGAACACCTTGTTGTAATCAGCAGATCAAAGGTACATCTGCACAGACTCACCTGTTCTCCATGCTGCAGGCTGCGAGTCATCACCTTGAGTGCTTTAACTATCTGAGCCTTAGTGGCTGATGGGCTGTCCAGATTTTCAAGGCCAATGCCTTCAAGTAATTTTAAGAGGTATGGGACCAAATCTGCTTTCAGGGCCTAGAAGAAAATGTTAAGCATACACAAATATGCTGGGGAAAAAAGTGTAAACCATCCACTGAAGAAATAAATTCACCCCCAGGACCAAACTTGGAAGAGGAAAACCTGCTTTATTTTAATGCCAGATACAGTTTTTTTTTAGTATAATGATAATGAGATTTTATTCCATGCCATCAAGTGTTCTAAATGCTAAACATCGATTATTTTATTTAATCCTCCAAATGCCCAATGCTGTGGGTGCTATTAATATTACTGGAGGAAAAAAAAATTGATGCATGGAGAGTGAAGCATGAGGGCAGTCATGGGCAGTGATGGAGTGTGCGACCGGGCAAAGGGCAGAGACTGAGTTTTAGCCACTCTACGGGGCTGCTTCCTTTAATAACACCTTGCTAACAGGAACAATATCTGAGATGCCTTAATATTTTTTTCATATTTTCTTAAAATATCAGCATTTGCATTCACCATTCATCTCCTATCAGCCTAATAAAAGCTAAATTAATACCCTGATATCACAGTTTTTTACTACCCACTCTGAAACTCAAAGGGAATAAATGGAAGTAACTTAACATTTAGTGATGTACCTCTTTTTATAGATACTGTTCTAGTAACAACCCTGGGGGTAGTCATCACTTATTTTACAGATGAGGAATCTGAGCACGGTTATGTAACAGGCCTGTGGTCACAGGGCCATCAAGTGGTAGTAGTGGCTCATGTTCCTTCCAAATACGACGCTCCTGCCCAAGCCTATTAAAATTTTGAACCTCAAAGCACCAATGATCTACTTGAGATGTACTCAGTAATTCTAACCTGCATAAATGAGGGATGGGTGGTGAGTGGGGGGGAGGAGATATGAGAGGGAGGGCCAGGTATAAAGAGGCAGGGCCTTATATTAAGGCTGAGGATACCATGTGTTACTTTGTCATCTACCAGGTAACGGGAAACCACTGAAGGCTTTTATGAAGAGTGACACAGTTACAGTGAGAGTTGTATTTTACAAAGATCACTTCTGAAACAGTTTTAAAATTTACTGTATGTGGGGGGAGGCACGGGGAGGGATGTGCAACACAGAAAGACAAGTAGTGACTGTATAGCATCTTACTACAGTGATGGACAGTGAATGTAATGGGGTATGTTGGGGGGGACTTGGTGATAGGGGGAGCCTAGTAAACATAATGTTCCTCATGTAATTGTAGATTAATGATACCAAAAAAAAAAACAACTTACTGTATGGTTTTGTTCCTTCAGTGTCTATTCAACATGAGTACCCACCAAGTCCTATTTCATTAGGCTGGTAGTCTCTTTGAAAAAGACAGAATAATCTTGGCATGTTTCTTAAAACATGACTTGAGAAACAAAAGAATGAATAAACAGAATGAATCTTTCCAAAGAGGATAAAGAAAATTTTACAAACCCTAAGGATAAATGCTTAGTAGATAACCAAAATTTAAAATATAAGCACCACAAAAGTAACTTGAACTTGGTCAAATTTCTGGCAGGCTGGTCCACCTTTGTGTGTGTGTGTGTGTGTGTGTATACACTTGTGCTTGCATGTATGTATAAAATATAAAATAGTGCATGCACAAAATAAGATACTTCTCTACCACACCTACGTCAGGGTACCTAGTCAGTGATAAGTAAGTGAAAATCTGTTTTTCTGGCATGTTTGCTTTCCTAAAACAGTGCAGAATCTAGAAGGTCACTTACTTGTGCTACTAATTCACTCTGCTCCTTCTGAAACATTCGATTAATTGCTTCACAGGCTAGACCAACAATATCAGGTCGCTTTTTCATTCCATTCATCAGTGGGCCAATAGTCTCTAAAGATGCCATGGCTCGAACACACAGCTAGTGTCCAAAAAGAGAAGGTTACTTGTAGAGTAGTAATATTTTATGTAGCACAGTAAGTACAGTAATAAAGTATGTGAAAAACCTACATTCAGTTCAAGTTTAATAATGAAGCTGAGTCAAATTCAGTCTCCTATTAATTTTATCATTTAAACTGGCTTAAGAATTGTTAATACCATCAGTTTATATGCAGGAAGGTACTGGGAGGAAAGAGGATTTATACTGCAATGTACATTAGTCAGAAAAAGGGAGGATAAATTCTAGAGCTATAAGCTACCAAATGGATTCATCAATACCTCATTTTCAGACAGAGCGTGGATAACACGAATGGCACTCTTAGGAATGGCATTGTTCCTGTGGTTCATCGCCTGGATCACTTTGGGAAGATGGCCTAATGGTGGGACCTGATCAGCCAGCTGAGGTTGTGCACTGAAGAGACATACTGTTGCCATTGTCAAAGTTTCCAGAGTTTCTCCCTGGAGGGTATAAAACAAACTATAAAATACTGACAAAGCCCTAAATATCCTTGGCAATTATTTGGTGTTCAAAACCAGAGGTCCACAAGTTTTAAGGGCTAATACCTGACAACTGATTCACAAATCCTAAGAGAACAATAAACTTCCCTGTCTTGATAAAAAGCATGAATTCAAAGGCCTTTAAGAATGTGATTATCTTAAACTAGGCAGCCTTTCACTAGGCTAAGCCACATCTCATTTCTATTGTAGATTTAAGAGATCATCTCCCAGAAGATATAACTAGAAATTTTTAGATAATGTTTTAGAAATGTCAGTAGCAGAGACCATCAATAATTCAGGAGAATTCGTAACTGATTAAATGCTTTTCCCAGTTCCAATAAAAAAGCCCACTATCTAACATGTCTGGCTGTCATATTTCATTTTCTATTGATAATAGATTACAAAGACCTGTAACTTGTACCATTATATGCAGATATGCACAGTTGATTCTTTAACAACAGAGGTTTGAACTGCCCAGGTCCACTTATAGGCAGAATTTTTCCCATGAATACACAGTTCCTGTAATTGGATATAAGGGCAGTGGATTCCATGGGTGATGCGGTGGACAGAAATGGAAAATGAAACATTTTTTAAGGAACGGTGCATACAACCCCTGAACCCCCGACCCCAGTGTCATCAGCCCCACACTCTGACCAGCTGAGCTGACCAACTGCCAGCTGGATGGGTGACAAATGCCACATCTTAAGAGGAGCAGATGCTGAGGCCTGGGTTGGGGCACACAGAGAAAGGAGGTGGAAAAGCTGTGCCCCTCTGGAGTACAGCCCTTCAGGCCAGGTCTGATCCCCCTGCAGTCCGGGGCCAATGCTGGCAGGGACCAGCAGAGCAGCTCATTCACCCTTCGCCGGCTCTTTTCTCTGCTGAACCCTACAGCCCTCCCATTGCTTTTCTACTTTTCTACTCTTCAGTGCATCTGAAGTTAACTGACCCATTTTACATATAGTAGGTTATTTATTAGTACTCATGTTTTGGGGAATCAAAAGTTATATGTGGATTTAGCACCACTTAGGGGTCAGTGCCCCTAGTCCCCACATTCTTCAAGGGTCAACTGTGTATCCCTAACACGATACATCTTAAATGCACATGGAAATTGGGATTTGCCCATAAACAAAGGTGACACAGGAGGAAAATATTATGTGTCCTCCCCTTTCTAAGTTTATGCTTTTTGAGGATTTCATTTTGTAAGCAAACTATGTAAGCAGTAAAAATCTTGGTAAAGAGAAGCCATGACTGTGCAAAAAGACATAGTAAATATCTGGCATACTAAAATTTTCTAGAAATTTTGCTAAGCTAATAATAGTAATTAATAAAGTCTGAAGTACTCAACAGGTGTCAGACATTATGCAAAGTACTCCACATATATCAAAACTCATGTTAACCTCAGCCTTCAGGGCAGGTGCTGTGACCATTCTATAAATGAGGCAACTGAGAGAGTCATGAGGTAGTGCCCCAAGTCACAGTGCTCTTAGTGGTGGAGCTGGTCAGGGTCCACGACTACCTAACCACACCCCTGGGCTCTTCATCACCTCACACTATAGCCAGCCTGGTTAATTCAGCAACAATCACGTACTTCAATTATTTTCAATCTAAAGGTTCAAATAAGAAAACCTTATATACTGTCAAGGTTTCTGACTCACCAAACCAGGATCAAGTCTAACTTCTCACTCCTGCTTTCCTGGTATCTTTGGCGTCAAGCATGGGTACAGGACTCACCCATGTCTTTGCTACTTCCCTGTCAATTTTTTAAACTAGAGTCATCCCTGCCATGTAAGGAAAGCTGAGTAAAGAACAAGCTCTAGCAGGACACACTTCCAGGGACACACCGAACACTTAGATTTTCCCTTACAATTATACAATCATTGGAAATGGAGTGGCAGAAACCTTCTTTTAGGGCTTCTATAATCATTAGAAATCACATCCTCTCAGTATTACCTTGAAATTTGGTTCATACACAACCATTTTACTATAGTTTTCACTTTTGAACATAGCAAAAAAAAAACGGGCAAATGGGCATATCTGAATTTAAATGTGGCTGTCACTCAAAGAGGTAGCCAATTCTTAATGCACAGGCAATAATGATGGTATTTTAACAGAAACACTATCACTACATTTAGCAAACCATTTGAAATGTTTGCTGATGGCTGAAGCTTACATGAGGATTGTTCTTCTCCAGCAGCCCAGTTAATTTTTCTAACAGTGCAGTAAGAAATTCTCTGGGCTTCCTTAGGACCCAAGTTGGTTGTGCAATAAAGATTCTCAAGAAAACTCCTCCAACAGCAAGTTCACCTTCTGCTTCTCCAAACACCACAGCAAAATCTTCAGGTAACTTGACATAGAGAAAGAATCATAGTCAAGTCACTTAGTAATCATTAGTTGTACATGAAGAAATGCAAACCCTATCACAGAAATGCTTATGAAATTAACTAGTCCTTCAACAGTCATTCGTATAATCGTAGTTACTATGAGTTTTATTTCTTCTAATAAAGTTCAGAAAAGGTGCATTCAAGAGGCTTTGATTAATTATTTCAAAAGTGAGAATACTTAGTTTCATGTTTAAAACCCATTTTCCAGGGGAATACCTAAGCATCTTAATGACATGGTATCTAATAGGTTGGCAATAAACGGACCCAGCAAGAATTTTTAAAAAAAGGGCAACAAATCAACAAAACCTACAGTGAAAGGTAAAATTCCTTCCTCTGAATAAAAGTATATGTTACCTTCCAGTTTACATCAGGGTTGTCTCGCTGATTTTTAAAGTGCCTTGGGGAAAAAAAGGGGAAGGGGGGAATATCAAACTTCAGTCACAAAACACACTTTCATTATTAACCTTTAGAATAAATCTTAGAAAGCTGAGAGGCAAAATGGGAAACCTTTGCCCTTCATGGTGATGTGACCTAAAGGCCATTTACTGCGTGCGTTTTTACTTACTGTAGCATCATTTCTCTGACTGTTGTAGACACTTTATCTCTGGAACCATCATTCCAAATTAACTCAGGATTTTCATGAGTTCCTTCAAAAATATGTACAGCAGCTTCAGGGTTGTCTCTCATGGCATCCATGAAAACGCTTGGTAGAAATTTTATTAATATAATTCTAACCTACATGAGGAGGTTTGAGAAAGAGAAAAGACCTTTTGGAAACATCTCAATATTTGGTCTGCTGCATTTCTCTATGAAAGAATATTGCTATAATTTGTGTTATGGCATCAGTGGGCTCTAACTACTATTTAAGAGCTCTAGAATACTAGAAGAGATAAACCTTGGTTTATGCAAAAGTAACTATAGAAACAGAAAGTAAGTTAATGGTGCCCAGGTGCTGGGAGGAGGGGGACGGGAAAGTGACCACTAAAGGGAATGTTTTCTTTCAAGCGGTTGATGAAAATGTTCTAAAATTGATTGTGCTTATCTGATCTGTGAATATGATAAAACTATTGACTTGTATGCTTTGTATATATGAATTGCATGGTATGTCAATTATGCCTCAATAAAGCTGTTACCAGAAAGGGAAAAAAAAGTCTACTGATCCTAGTTCTAGAATCTCTTGCTACACATCATTCAATTAAGGAGCTGATACTTCTACTTTTCCTACACAGAAAAAATAGGTAAATTAAATTTATTAACTTGATTAAATTTGACCCTCATGCATCTCAAAGGTCAAAAACTAATAAAGAGTTCAAAGTCAATTCCAGCACATATTTATTTCAAACATCTGAAACTTGACTTAAAAGATGTAATATTGGAAATTAATTAAAATTATGTGCCACCCAAATCTACCTTTAAGAAAACTTAATATTAAATATACAATATTCATACTTTTATGGACTTTTTCTGTAGGCACCCAGATGCAATTCCTCCCTCATCTCATCAACGCTGCTAACAACAGACTGTTAACTTTTTTCCCAAAGTAAAACTGTTTAAGGTCCTCTGACATTTTAAATACATAGATAGAGATCAAGCAAGAAAAATACAACAGAATCCAGCTTCTCTTACTGATGTAAAATCAGACTCTAGAAGTGGGGGCTCAGAGGCCTGTATTTCACGGTGCCCCCACATGTCTCTGAGGTGCTGCTTAGTGGTCTGGCACAATGTTTCAGTGAACACTACCTGTGAAACTGACTTAGCAGGAAATGGAGGCTTTGACTACACCTGTGTCAGGGGAGAATTCCACTTAGAAGTACTGTTTGAAAGGTTCTTCTCACCTTCTGACACCCAACTAGACCATGATTCCAGAGATAATCTGATTATCACTAGAATCTGAATGAAAGATCCACCCACAGACTGAGGAGGCCAAGGTGCTGTCACACCTGCCTGCACGGCCTTATTTCTCAAGGGCAAACACATGAAATGCATAGGGACAGGGAATCGTCACCTCCTTCAGCAGCTACTTCCATAGGCTGATCCTCACAGTTTGCAAGTCTAATCTGACCTATCTTCTGGCATAACCTGTTTATACACGTTGGTTCTTTCCTCAAGGGAGAGGAGCAGTTTATCACCATAATAAAACATTCTCTTAGGACTCTTCCAGGCTTCCCCAAATATAATTTTTCTCTAACTAGTAATATATAGGAACAATTTCAAGTATGTCAATTTTCCAACTTCAACATCAAATCATTTCTTTATCCTCCTCATCTCAAACTTTGGTAAACTTTATGAAAACAGTACCAAAGTGGCAGCTTTATTAATTAGCTTCTTTCTAAAAACCTATTTTGTGCTCACCTTTGGACCTATTAGTTTATCTGCTGTCATTTTAGCAAAAAGTTCTGCTGTTTGGGCTCGAACCTGTGGATGTGTCGAATTGCAGAACATATCTAATAAATAAATCAAAGCTCCTATGAAAGAAAAAAAGAATTAGTGTTTATATTGACTGCTCAGATCAGGAACATTCATTTTCAAATTTATTTCAACTCAGTGCAGTCTGTTTTTTCTAAAGACTGTAAGCAATCCGAAAACATTCTTCTAGTTTATCAGACAGTACAAAGAAGCTCAAAACAAGATTATCACTAAGCATGACTGGATGAGAAAGCATTCTATACACTACCTTTTGCCATTGCTTCTTTGATTATTTTTGTACTTGATGTCAAAGCATAAAGAGTTTCCAGAACAAGCTGACGGCCTGCAGAGTAAAAAACATTTCAAGAAATATACCATCACATTAGCTAACATTTTCTGGGTATCAACTCTGTGCCCAGCACTGAGCTATGTGTTTTACACAGAGTATCATACTTAAATTTTCAAATAACCAGCAAGGTAGGTATTATTAAGGCCTTGCTATGAATGAGGAAGTTGAGGCTCGATATGACCAGTTCAGTTTCACAGCTTGTGAGTGGTACAGCTAGGTTTTGTACAGAGGTCTAATCCAGTGTCTACACTGGTAACTAGTACACCATACTGTCTTTTGCCTTATTGTTCACTGCACAAACATTATCTTCTCACCTCCTGACACCTTGCAGACAATCTGATTAGGCCTAAGATTTTTGCCTGGTGCTATCTTAGAGAAATGAGTGAAGTAGCAGTTGCAAGACACTGTTCCAATCTAAGACATAACAGCATACTTTTGACATGATCTATGCACCTCTCATCCCTTGTCACAAAGTATCCTGGGCTACTGGGTTTTACTCTTCTACAGTTAAATGACAATGACAGACAGTGGACCAAAGTAGAAAGAGTTGACAAAGAGGTGGAGGCTGCCAAGCATTAGGCTGAAACTAAATCAACTACCAGCAAAGGTTGGTAGCTGCGCTTGACTAAGTTAACACACATGAGAACAAACATTCAATAGGATATTCCTAAGAGAAGCAACTATACTTCACTTAAAAACCCACCACTGCTCTAAACATAGTTTCAAAAGAAAACAAGTCTTTGGAGGGGTCAGAGGAAGGTTAAAAATTGTATATATTTAATGTCCTGTAGCAAACAGTGGAAGATAGATAATTTAATCTAAAATATAAACAAAAGCACTAGTCTGAGATATCTAGATGCCAGCTATTTTTGACTGTAAGATTAAAATAGACTGGACTATATAAATCAGATATAAGTATAAAATTACACTTTCAAACTACAACTACTATAAACATCAGTCGGTTTAATTTCTCACTGTTTGAAGCCTTGCAAAGCTCTTGGAAACCAATAAAAAGACAACAATCCCAGTACAAGCTGCCACCCACGGTGGACCGAGATAAGCCATAGTCAGCAGACAGGCAGAAAGGCAGCCCCGACCACAACACTCCCATCAGAAGAGCCTGCTACAGTGCTCATAAAGGGCCTCTGCTGACAGAGAACAGCCACTGTTGGCAGACAAGCAGAAAGGCAGCCCCACCCACAGTCCACCAACAGCAAGTGGAGCTCCACCACAAAGGAGAACCAGGCACTGGTGAGTAAAGAGTCTTGAGCTTTTGGTCACCACAGGACACCACCCTCATAAAGCCATTACTCTCTAGACAGGAGGCATAGTGGATCTAATACAATGGAAGAAACACAGAAACCCTGACAAAATGAGGAAGAAGAAGAATATGTTCCAAACAAAACTACAGGATAAGACACCAGAAAGACGGCTAAATGAAATGGAGATCTCCAATTTCTGGACAATAATTTCAAAGTAACAGTCAGAAATATGCTCACTGATCTGCAGAAAAGTACTGATGATCTCAGAGAGGACTTCAACAAAGTGAAAGAGCTGAAAAAGATCCACTCATTGCTGAAAATACAGTATCTGAAATGAAAAATACAACAGAGGGAATGAGTAATAGACTGTTGCAACTAGAGAAGACAGTGAGATGGAAATTAGAGAATAGGTACAGAACAAAGCTGAGGAATAGAGAGAAAAAAGAATCTCTAGAAATGAGAGGATGCTAAGAGAGCTGTATGACAATTCCAAATGGAACAATATCCATATAATAGGGGTACCAGAAGGAGAAGACAGAGACAGAGACAGAGAGAAATAAATTTTGCTGAAATAATTGCTGAAAATGTCCCCAGTCTGAAGAAGGAAATAGACACACAGGTCCTGGAAATTTAGAGAGTCCCTAACAAAAGAAATCCCAGGAAGACAATAGCAAGGCACATAATAATTAAAATGATAAATATTAAGTACAAAAAGGAGGTATTGAAAGCATCTAGAGAGAGGCAAGAAACTTTTTATAAGGGAAATCCTTTCTGGCTATCAGTTCACTTCTCAGCAGAAACTTTACAGGCCAGAAGGGAGTCTCATGAAATATTTAATGTAATGAAAGAAAAGGACCTTCAACCAAGAATCCCTTACCCAGAAAGATTATCATTCCAATTTGAAGGAGAGATTAAAAATTTCCCAGATAAACAAAAGCTGAAGGAATTTACAACCACTAAAACTGCATTACAAGATTTGTTAAAGGGACTTCTATAGATACAAATGTTCTTGAGCCTCAATAGTTTTCTCCAGTGAAAGTAAACCCACAGTAATAGCAGTAGACAAGTTACTTACCAAGCTAGTTTGAAATTACAAAAGGAATAAGACCAACTATACACAAAACCAGTCAAGGGATATAGAAAAAAGGCAGATTATGACATTTAATACAGAAAGAATGGAGGAGGAAGAAGAATAAAAAAGGAATAATTTTAGATTGCATTTAAAACAGAGCAACTATCAAATTAGACCATTATATATTTAGGCAACTATCAATGAACCTCATGGTAACCACAAACCTAAAGCCTATAATAGATACACAAAAAACTTCTAAAAGGAAATCCAATCACAACAGCAAAGAAAACTTTCAAATAACAAAAAAATGAGTATAAACAAGGAATAAAGGAACAGAGAACGACAAAAACACCCAGGAAACAATTAGTAAAAGTCAGTAAGTACAAACCTATTAGTAACTACCTTAATGGAAATGACCTGAATGCACCAATCAAAAGACACAGAGTGGCAGAATGGATAAAGAAATAAAACCCATCTGTATGCTGCCTACAAGAGGCTCATTTCAGACCCAAAGACATACATAAACAGACTAAAAGTGAAGTGATAGAAAAAGATATTCCATGCAAATAATAGGGAGAAAAAAGCAGGAGTAGCAATATTTATAACAGATGAAAAGGATTTCAAAACAAAGGAAGTAAAGAGATGAAGAAGGGCATTACATAATGATAAAAGGGTCAGTCCAACAAGAGGATGTAACAATTACAAATATCTATGCATTCAACATAGGAGCACTTAAATATGTAAAACAAATGCTAACAGATCTAAAAGGAGAAAAAGACTGCAACTCAATCACATTATGTGACTTTAATACAGCACTTACATGAATGGACAGATTATCCACAGAAAATAAATAAGGACACAGAGGCACTGAACAGCACATGAGATCAGATGGACTTAACTGGAATCTAAAGAACATTCCACCCAAAAGCAGCAGGATACATATTTTTCTCAAGTGTACATGGATCGTTCTTCAGAATAGATGATACAACACACTAGGCAACAAAAAGAGCCTCAATAAGTTGAAAAAGACTGAAATTCCATCAAGCAGCTTCTTAGACCACAGTGGTATGAAACTAGAAATAAATTACACAAGGAAAACAAAAAAACCCATAAACACATGGAGGCTAAACAACAGGCTTCTACATAATCAATGGATCAATGAACAAATCAAAGTAGAAATGAAGCAATGCATGGACAGAAATGAAAATGAAAATACAACAGTTCAAATTTTGGGGATGCAAGAAGGAAGTAAAAGCAATACAGCCCAACCTCAAGAAACAATAACAATCCCAAATAAATAGTCTAATCTCACAACTTAAGAAACTAGAAAAAGAAGAACAAATGAAACCCGAAGTTAGTAGAAGGGACATAATAAAGATCAGAGCAGAAATAAACAGAGAAGAATAAAACAATAGGAAAAAAGAAAAACCAATTAAGGTGGTAGGTATGATAAAGATAATCTGCAACAACTTTCCAAAGTGGTCATTTTAGAGAGCCATTTCAAATATGTCACTCATTAAAGAAAACAAAATTATTCGATGGATATTCAACTTCACTCAATTGACTGAACATAAAAGAAACACCTAACACGTGCAAGGCACTAGGGCATAAATGAATGAAACAAATTCCTGCTCTCAAGGAGGTGAACAGGTGTGAAGCCAAGATTAACATATCTTCCAAGGGGTTGGCAAAACCAATTGAGCAATGTATTCTTATGGTTAGCAGTGAAGTTGGGAGTTATAACTGCCTTTGAAATCTCAAGGTTGATTCTAGCACAACTACACACTATTACTGTTAGACAACTATACAGGTTATAAGGAGCCTATATCAGCACAGGCTGGATTCAAGAAATCTTGCTGGCATATACTTTTTAATTAATTTCATATTGATGGTAATACTCTCTCATTCTATCAGCATTGAATCAATAAAGGATAAATAATGGACGACTGAACTCTAAGCTAATTTTTATCTTAAGCATTTTTTTCCAAGACCAATTATGTTTTTCTTATAAACCATGGAATATTAGTCAATTCTCAATTACTCACAAATAGATTATACTCAGCAAACTGAAAACCCTAGGTTATTTGCCTTTGCTTTGGATCTCTCTCACCTCCAACTTTCCACTTTTGACATGGAAATATAAAAGTTTTATTAAGTTGTGTAAAATATGATTATGAAGACTAATAGTAAGAATACCACTCAAACTATTCCAGAACTAAATATGAATAACTTTATGTCAGAGGTATTGTATCATCTATGCAAACTGCTCCCCTCTATGGGTCAGCCAGGCTGTGCTGCCCAAAAATCATATGCATACTTGATTTCATGAATATACATACTTGATGGCAACGAATGCAGAAGAGCCAATAAATTAGACAAAACCATCGATTCAGCAATATTGTGGACACAATCTTGGTTAGAAGTCACTATATTCACAACCTGAAAATTAATCAATAGGGTATTAAAAGTCTGAAAATAATTTTAGGCCTAAATCAAATTAAGTCAAATTAGACATAAATAAATGTAAGGCTTCACAAAAGTGAGAAAAATGTTTGGAAAAAAAAATATTTAATTTTTAAAGGTGAGTTTAATTTTAAAAGGCTAGCTTTATTACTTTGACCTTTTGAGAAATAATAAGTATTAATGCTCATGTATTATATAGTTTCCTATTAATTTAGAAGAACTAAATGTAGTGATCTAACAAATATTTTAGCACCCATTCACAATCTTGAGGCTTATAAGAAGTCTTCAATCCTACTCCAGTGTGTGGGGAGCACACCGTAGTACTGTGAACCACAGAATTTGGAGAGGGGAGGGGAGCTATGAAGATAATGATACTCGCTACTCAGACTTCCACTTTACTTTGAGAAGAAGAAAGTGAATGTCTTCCATGTCCTGTATAACATACTGAAGTCTATTTTTCCACTATGAAGAAAAAGGTATTTTTCTTTCAAAGAGGATGACTTCCAAATTCTAACTTTTATAGCATACATCTGAAGATTGATGTCACTTAACTTGAACCACGTAATTTGTATCCCAAAGCAATGCATCCTAAATTTAGTATTTATTTTGAGTTACAAGGTACTTGGAGGATTAAGTAGAGTAGCATACTTCTCAATCAAAAGAAGCTATGCTTACTAAGCTTTTTGACCAATTTAACTTTTATTATTTAAAATCTCTTTTAAGTCAACATGCAATCTAAGAACACATTATACAAATCACTCATAAACCATCATAAACCTGTTATTGCAGGGATGAACTTTGTGCTCTTTACAGTAAATTGTGTGTGTTATGATGAGTGGGATCATCTGAAAAATGATCCTGGGAGCTCATTCTGGGTTGTCTGGACAAGTCCCCTGTGACCAGTGATCTTCCAGAGGAAAAGGCTGCACCCGAACAGCTTTCCATGGGACCAGTGTTTTCATTCTCCTCAGGAAGGGGCCTCCAACTTCTCTTGCACCCCTAAGGCGCTCAGGTCCTGGGTAGCTGCCTTTCCTACACAGCTCCTGCAGACAGCGTAACACCCCAGCTGTCTGTCTCCAACCATCACTGAAAAGACTACTTAAGTACTAGACCCCTGAGAAGGGAACTCAACTGAAGGGGAGTGGGTTGAGTCCATCCTCTGGAGCACAAACCCACTGTGCAGCCAGCAGAGTGCTTGGTCTTAACATGTCTCTCTGTTGGGACATTGAGAAATCCTTCTTCCTCTTCTTACTGAGCTGTAATATCTGATCTTCCCCAGTAACGCCCATTCCTTAACCCACACCACATGCATCCTAAGTTCTGATGCATGACAATGCCATAGAGGGAACCATGCTAAACACCACCATGCAACATCTGCTCTTTGAGAAGAGTATAGTAATTTGAATTTTAAACACATATTCACTTAATAGGTGAAAAAATACAAACAGCGTACTACGTGCAAACTTCCATTCAACTGCAGATGTAATTAGTCAAGGCTTAAACCATATACAGTAATGGTGAGGAATACAGCACACTTTCCAATTAAAAGAACTTATGCTTATTAAGCTATAATACAAAATTTTACCTCTAAAGCCAGTTGCTGCACTTGACCAGCTCCATGAACTCGGAGGAGAGAAAATATTAACTTAAAATGCCCAATGCATTCACTTTCAGAGCCTAGGGAGTAAGGAGAAATAGTTAATTTTTATTTTCAAGGATGTTCTAAATTATAAATTTTCGGAAAACCAATATATACTGTCATTTACTATCAATGTTAAGGCTTTGACAACCTTTTCTGAACATCTGTAACACAAAGTGACTGGAGTATCTCTAAGCAGCAATAAATCTTAGGAAGCAAAAGTAAGATAGGGTCTGTTAGGTTTGTTGTGATTTCATTTCCATTCCTACCTCTAGCCATCAGGCTAAAAACAAGAAACTTATCACATATGAAATCCAAATACAACTCAAAAATCAAGGGTGTAAGGTGGTTATTTTACTATTTACCTCTAGACCTTAGGGCTACCCCCCTACCTCAGCCTACTTATATTTTGGGAGTGTGATATCATTTGGTTTTTACTTAAGACTGAGTTAGAACTCTGTCACTTGAAGACTAAATTACAACCAACCAATATGCATATGCAAAGGGCTCCTTGTGAAAATACGTTAAATTGAATGGTATTTCTATTCCTACCAACCTCAAATCCCAATCTCATATATTTACTACCATTTTGTTTTTAAAACAAAAACATTAAATATTCAGGTCTTGTTCAGTGTATTTTTCCTTTTGCTCTATTGTCATAAAACATATGATATGTACTTTGTAATCTTTTGAGGACTCGTAATTCATAAGACCTCAACTTCAAGAGTCTGAATATATTCTATAAATAGGTTGCTTTTAAATTAATTTTCAAACCACTTCTCTAACAGACAACAATTATCAATACATCAATGACAGAAACCATACCTCTAAATTACAAGAGAGCATGTGATCTTATCCATGAACTTTACAGATTCCTTCAAAATTTATGTGCAAACACTTACCCAATTTTTTAAAATTCCAATCAAAAGCCTGCTTTGCTGCAATTTCTTTGTACCTAATACACCACTAGTAATGTTTTACTATGTTAACTCCAAGAAATGAGAAATGAAGTTTTCTTCAGATTTTATAAAACTGTCTTTAATAACACCTCAATGTATATTTTGGGAATGATTAATTTTCCTAACATTTAATTACTCTTATTTTATTTGAGTAACTTGGTGGCAAACCAGAAAGTCAGAATTTCAATAGTACTGTAATATATGTACTGAAAAGAGCAAAAGAAGTACCAGACAGTTAATGGTAAACATTTATAAAAAAGATCTGGTGTCTTTAAGTAACTTAAATCGAATTTGTATTGTTTTAGGTCTTATATTCTATATTTGTTATCAAAGTTAGACTTGGAAACAGTTTTCAGATTTTCATTCATCCATCTCCCTAGACTCAGTCAAGAGTGATAATGTTTTGGGGAATGTTATCTTAAGAATGAGAACCCTCACCTTCTCATTATTTCATTTATTATACACCAAAACCTTCAGGCAGCTTTGCAAAATTATGAGTGCCCATATGTACAAGGCATTGCATTAGGGCCCAAAAGGGGCAAAAATTAGATCATAGATCACCTAAAAAAGAAACCTGACTTAAGCACTTACATATGGTATATCAACTTCTGCAATCAATATGAAATTTTATACACTACCAAGTTATTCTGCCTTTTCAACTTACTGACATTCATTTTCTCTTAGAGATATGACTGACTTGAACTTTCTTCCAAGCCTACCTATGTTTATAGGTAAGAATATTACGGGGTCAAAAACCAAGTATAATTTTCTCTGATAAAATTGAGAACTGGAATTTACGATCCTTTTTATTTTGAGAATCTTATTGATCAAGGGTATTGTCACATACCTGGATTATATTTAATAACATTTCTCAGAGCCTCCAAAGCCATTTCCACTCTTGGCAAGCGGTCTCCATGTTGCTCTGACTCCACTTTTGCAGCATTTGTGATCGCCATGAATGTGTGCAGGTACTGGGCCTGGGAGCCTATATAATCCAGGAGACTTGCACCAAATGCCTTTGGGGCCTAAGTCAAATGGAGAAACATTCAGACATAACCTGTATAACAAAGACTCTAGAGCAACAACAAAAACAGACAGTTTAAGCTATGAAAGTGAATAAATTATACATACATAAGAATACACCTATGGATTAACAAGGGGTAAGGAGGAAGGAAATAAAACCTGACTGCATTAGAAAATGTTTCTCAACATTTTTTGTCCTAATACATTAGAGATGATATCCTCCCATCAGTACTTCAGTGTGACAATTCTGAGGTTAGAGTATCTTTTTCCTTTACCAATCAAAGCAGCTGGTGGTGTGATATGCAATTTCTACAATTTGGTTATATTTGTATACTTAAAATTTTATTATATTTAGAAAATAAATTCTAAAGACAGTTTTCTAAGACTTCACAAATCACTGAACTTATTCTGCTTAACTACTTATATATATTATATATATAACATAATATATTTAAATAAGCTTAGCTATTTATATACATTACTCTGTGATAAATAACATACATTACGGTTTAGTAAATTCCTTTTTTCCAAGAGTAAACTCTAAAATAAAGCCTTACGTCTTCCTCTTTACAAACCAAGCAACTACCAAATCCTCCTGGCACCCTTTCAAAAAAAATTCCAACAAAAAATTCCTACACCATTCCCAAACACTAAACAGAAAAAGCAGCTCCTCATTTACTTCTGAAAGTGATTAGGGATCATCACACAAGAGGACCCCAGTCACATTCTAAAAAATCTCAATGCTGTCCACCTGTATTTTTTTACTTTCTTTTAATAACCGGCCGGAGAAAAACTGCCTGGTGGTCTGACAGTCTACATAATGGAGTATGTAAGTGGCCTTGCACTCCCATGAGAGACCAGTAAGCTGAAGGCATATACACATGGGGTAGCATTATGCATAAAATATAAGGAATAGCTGGGCAGGGAAAACATTATTTATGAATCCACAAAATTAAATTCCTGAAAATGAAGAGAATGTAAGTCATCAATTTTCACCCCTTCACATACCAAGTTAGTATAAAATAGCATTTGGCAAGAACAGCTATCATTTCAGTGCATTCAGTGTAAATAAACTAGTAGCTTTCAGTAACAAATGAGCAAAGGTATCAGACTAAACTCAAAGTACAGGGCTTACCTCTAGTTGGAAGGTAGGGACTTCATTATACACCCTGACAAAAATCTCCCCTACAATAAGTTCTTTGGCATGATCACTATAGACAAATTCTGATCCGAAAGTTTTGTCACAATCCGTCTTTTTAAAAAAGAAAATAAGACTGTTAGATGTAAATCAGAATAAGTGTCTTAATAGTTTTTAAATCTTATATCTACCTATATTCAGTTTAATAACATAATAGATAAATAATTTGAAAGATCCATTCATTTTGCAGAGAGGAAAAAGATGTTGGAATAAACAACACAGCACTCAATGAAATTTTAATGTTTATAACTGGTAATATGGACTCTGGATCAGGCATAGAGTTATGTTATTTTCAATCCAATGATTAATGTTGTAACTCATTTTAAAATTTTGAGAGCCGATGAAGTGTCTTAGGAGCTAGTATTTATAAAGCAAATATAACACTTGACTCTTCTCACTCCACTCAGCAACAACTTGGCCTTGTCAGATATAGGGGTGATAGAGCTAAGAAATTAATACACTTAGAATGGGCTTTATGATGTAATGCACTGAAATAAATGCTGGAAAACAAGGTCTCTGAATTTTAAAAAAGGCAGGATAATACCATATAGGCTGAAAAATCAAGAAGATTTTCCATTTAGAGAAAAAAGAAAAGAGGAATGGGAGAAAACAGTCCCAATGAAGATTTACATTTAAACCACACAGAATTTAGGTTGGACTGAAATAAAAAAGTCAAAGTATATAATAAATTGTGAAGTGCTAAACAAAGAGAAGATGTTGTCTCTTCTGGCAAAAGAACAGAAGATACATAGAACGGTGAAGCCTGTTCTCCATAGCTCTGCAATTCTCAACACTTCTATCTGTAGGGAGTTCTGAGTGATTATCATGAAATGAGTTCAAAAGCAAATTTTGAAAAATTTAGGACATAACAGTAGTGGTTACTCTTAAACAAATTTCAAACCCACAAACGTAAGTGTTTTCTAAACCATCAAGACTCAACCAGTATACGGAATATCCAAGCCTTCTCCTCATCTCCCATCCTACTGTCTTTGGTTTTTCTCATGGCTTCACAGCTTTTCCACAACAAGGTGGCAGGATAGGAGAAATTACTCAATTTTGATACCAGAAAGCAATTTACTGGGGAAAAGAGGCTGAAGAGAACAATTAAAAGAGGGCTTTTCAGTACAAAAACTCATTGAAAGAGGAGATAGCTACATGACGGGTGGCGCCAACAATAAATCCTAATGCATTGATATAGTAAAAACATTGTTCTTAAGTGGGCCAAGTACTAGGTGGAAAAATCTATAGGCTTAATTAATACCAAATGGAAAAGGTGGGTTTCTGTTTTGTCAATACTAAGTTATATTTTCAGAGAGTATTTCATTAAAGCTACACAAAAATGTATCAAACTGTGACATACTTTTTTAATCATGCTTTCTTGTTGGCATTCAAGAAATTCAAGTAGTTCTGCTCTTGTAGAATTGTTCCATATCAAATATGGGCTCTCTGTGTTGCTGTTAAGCATCTTCAATATCTAAAAGAAGACATTAATATTTTGTAACATTTAGAAAAAAACAGAAATTGAAATTATCATTTGCTATACTTGTCTACTATACGTCAAGCACTATAACAGGTGCCTTATGTATAATGGATCTCAATAATTCTAACAAGATTATTGATATTATTCATTTTGCAGCTGAGAAAAATCCAAACTGAAAGCACTCAAATTATTTGCCCGAGGTCACACAGCCCTTATGTGGTGAAAGTGTGAGTCCAGTTTGAGTCAGTTTGACTTCACAGTTTAACATTTGCTCTGCCACCAGAACAATTACAGAAGATATTTTGTGGTAAAGCACTTAATAAACAGTAAAGGTGAGCTTAAAAAGAATCATACCATACTACCTTTACATACATGTATCTGAAAACAAAATCTCAGTTGTCATGAAGCATATTGCTAGGAAGGGAAATAGAATTTACAAGCCGAGTCACTTCAACTTTTCTTGGCCAAACCCTGATTCGAGGCTGAGTTAAGTAATTCTGCAGACATAGCTTATCGCTGCTTAGCCACCCAGTGCACTTTTCATTTATTTAGCTCTCCTCAAAAGTATATATACATTTTAATACACATTTTTACATTTTACATTTACAGAGCTCTATGCCAGAAGGAAAGCATTGGGTTATTACTTCAATTTTACACAAAGCACCCCAACCCTTGTTTTCAAAATGTTAACTACTAGTTAAAATAAAATGACTGCAAAACTATATTGTTAAGAAAATTGTAAAACATTGAGAACTGGCAGTTTAAAATAAGCATTAAATCCAGATGTACTACAGCCCAAGATTTTGAAATGCTACTTTTTTTTTCATACTTTGGCTATAACAACTTGCTAGTACTTCTGGAAAGAGTGTTTTATGTTCAGCAAAACACATTACATCAGTAAACACAAAGTCCAGAAAAAGAACAGAGGGGCATCTAAAGTTCTTGGGGCATTGAAAAGCAATGGCCTGCACTAAAAAACAACCAGACTCCATAAGACTGAACTAAAAAACAAATAAGCTAATTATAAATTCTAAAAATATTTTACATTTGGAAGCCTCAGGATTTTTTTCCTTAGAGAAGTATTAAATGGTCACTAGAGAAAATAAAAATAGCCTAGAATTCTGCCATTCAGATATAATTACAGTTCACATATTAGTACAGATCTACCCATCCATTCATTTTTTTTAATACCAAAAATGGTATGATTTAGTTTTTTCACTTAAATGCGTTCAGTCTCTTTTAATTTCTTTAAATACACCTTTACAACTTAGGACTTCACAGTATTCTATTTAATGGATTTCTGTAATTGAATTCTCTAATGACACATTCTTAGATTGTTTCTCAATAATCCTCACAAAAGAGGCCAAAGACGTTGGGAGATCTGCCAAGGTCATACTTGTTTTTGTCATGAATGTATTATGTGTGTTTATGTATGTATTTTTAGGATTTCAACCCTGACTCTAAGTAAGTCATAGTTCATAAGAAATAGCTAAAAATAGTCTGGATTGCCAGACTCCCAGTCCTCTGCCCATTATGAAACACCATTCCAAGTTAATTCTCTTCCCTGTCCCTTTGTGACTCAAGGTTGAAGAATTATGGTGAGCTCCATAGCTGGGAAACATCTACCCTCACAGAGAGACTGGATTTGTTAAGGTGGTGATGTCAGCATAATCCACAATAAACTGAATTTCTTAGTTGAGACGTGAAAATTTTCAATTTTTAGATCTCCTAAAGCAAATTACATTATTGTGTTCCTCTACTATTTAAAGGATCTTACCAAATTCACCAAAACCCAGGCCACACATCCCTGAAGCACATACCTCAGTAGCACTAACCACAGCGAGTTTTCTAGCAACATAGGGTGTCAGCATGCCAGCTAAACTTTTCCTTATGGTTGGGTTTTCTGGGGTGGCTTGTTCTTCAGGTAGATACCCTCCGAGGCGGCTTAGAGCATGGACACTCAGTTTGGCAAGGCTGTTGGCTACTTCCTGTTATAAGAAATTAACACTGAAGTGGGTCTATTATTGTACATAGGTAACAAAGTAATTTTATGGAATCACAACTGTATAGAACATACTTAAAGAGCAGATAGCAAAAGGGCACACACATCCCCAATACTGATGTCACAGAATTTATTTAGTAGAGCTTTTTTTTTACTTATACAAAAGCCCATCAGAATCTATGTACTCATCTATAGCCTATAGAGTATCTTAGAGGAGACTGGAAGAAGCACATCTGGGGGTACAGTGAGAAGCAGGGCACAGGTAGGCAGACTTGCCTGCTAGAGGCACACACTAACAATACAAGTACTGAATGACACTGAGTAGGAAAGGAGAGACAGAAAAAATGCCTATAAAAATTAGATAAATAACCTACCATTTGACCCAGGAATTCCACTCCTAGGAATTTACCCTAGACCGCAGCAATCAAGTTTGAGAAAGACAGATGCACCCCTATGTTTATCGCAGCACTATTTACAATAGCCAAGAATTGGAAGCAACCTAAATGTCCATCGGTAGATGAATGGATAAAGAAGATGTGGTACATATACACAATGGAATACTACTCAGCCATAAGAAGTGGAAAAATCCAACCATTTGCAGCAACATGGATGGAGCTGGAGAGTATTATGCTCAGTGAAATAAGCCAAGCGGAGAAAGAGAAATACCAAATGATTTCACTCATCTGAGGAGTATAGGAACAAAGGAAAAACTGAAGGAACAAAACAGCAGCGGAATTACAGAACCCAAAAATGGACTAACAGGTACCAAAGGGAAAGGAACTGGGGAGGATGGGTGGGCAGGGAGGGATAAGGGGGGG